TTTTTTTTTTTTTTTTTTTTTTTTTAAGTTATTCAATGAAATATTTGTTGAAATATCGAAACAATACTTTGACTACATTGTTTATAGACAAAAACTTTTGGATACAAACTTGAATTAAAGTGATACGAAAGTTGTTTTTATAATACATATAATTATGACAGAAATGTAAGAATAACTGTCATGTTTGAGAATGATAAACTTCAATCGATTATTAATGGTGCATTGTCAATACTTTTGTATAACAAAAATTTTCACGAATTTTTTATATTAATGCGCACTATCCGTCGAAGATATATTTATATGTATACATGTATTAGATGCTATTGAATTATTTATAAGATCATCTTGTCTGAAATAAATTAATAATTAATGGTCGTGCGCAAACCAAATTTCATTTAAATTAATTTTAAAATTAAAACATAAACAAATAATTTTACGATAATATGTATCTTCTCAAAAAATAGTAATTACCAAAACTATGTCATTTTTTTAATAAAATAATAGCAATAAGGCAATAATATTAGTAATAATATGATATAATATAATAATAATGATAATCAAATTAATAAAACAAACAACTTTGGATCACAAAGCCAATTAACACACACCCTTTTGTCTAGCATACGATGTTCACAGAAATCCAACAACGTTATGTTGTTCTCTTCTGCTTATAAAGATTCAATGTAGTGTATTATTTCGATGTATTTCGTATAATAAATATGGTTTTCGATTATTCTTTACTGGAAACTACAATTAAATTCGATGATATCATGTATGAATTTCACTATTTGAAAATAGTTTGTTACAAAAATTTTGTATACAGTCTCATTGATCTATGAAGAAAAATGCGCATGAAATAGTATAAACACTTGTATTCATCAATGCAAAAGTGAACAATACAACAATTGTCAGATATTTCACAAGGAAGAAAGACCTTCAATTGGGAAACATTCATAATGACTTATGTAAAAAAGATGATGATTATACAGTTACCAAGTTTTAAAGATGATACTTTTGTATCATTGAATGTGCCATTGTTTCCTTAACATATAATGAAATTAAAAGAAAAACAAGTTCGTATTTTTTTTCGTAATTAAAACAAATACATCTTTCAAATAGTCAAATACTAAATTTTTAATTTTCTTGCAAATGCAATGCATCTCCACAAAATTTTTTGACTTGTAAGCTTACATATATTATTTGACGTTAATGTATCATTATCTTAACATCTTACTGTCTAGACATACGCGAACGACAGGTTTATTAATTGTTGTACATAACCAAAATATTCTGTTTTCTAATTTGTAAAGTATTTTTAGATTCTTTAATTCTTATGATCATCACGTTCCTCTTAAGTCTTTCCCCTATTTTTAACATCCCTTTGAATGTTCATTCACTTAATTATTTATTTACTTTATCTGATTCTCTTAATGCCCTCTTTGCTGGTGGTTCTTCAATCTGAAACAATGCATTTTTATTATACATTAAATTATAAATTAAAATTTTTTTTACATTTTCACTTACTTCTTCCTCTAAACCAGGTAATTGAATTCTAGTTTCTGATGCTTCTGCTGGCTGTAAATAATTTTAAAATTTAAAATATGTTATTTGTGATATTAAAAAAATATGAAAATATATTAAAGAATAAAAAATTATATGTATATAAAAATAAAAATATAATTTAAATAATTTTACCTGTGCGTCAATACATTCCACTTCTCCAATTTGCAGCTTGAAATTATATATACTTACATTTCTTTTAGGATTATTATTTATATATAGAATTATTCACAAAAAATAAAACATGTAAATATTCCTATTGTAATATTAAATATTTCTCCTGTGTTATAAAAATGTTATAAAAATAAAAAAGAAGTCCAAAACAAAAAATATTTATTTATATTATATTTACTATTTTGAATAATAAAATCTCAAATATTTTAAATATTTTCATAATAATATTTACATGTTTTGTAATTTGTGATTAATTTTATATATTGTTTATTAAAAAAAATTTTCTTCTAAATCATATTTCCTATAAATCATTTATCAACGTATTTATGTTATTATATTATCTTGTAATTATCTTACCCTAGCATCAGTTTCATTTGGCCCAATGCCTACTTCTTTTTGTTGTTTGGACTTAGCTCTACGTTGTGGTCTTTCACTAACAGAATGTGCATTATGAAGTGAACCTTTTCCTTTAGGACTCGACATATTTATTTGCATTTCAGCAGGTAAATAGTTCCTAGTGTTGGCTAATAATTCATCTGCTCGTTTGAAATACATAGTGGGAATTCGTGTTTCGCTTGGGAATTCTTTCATATCGAAATTTGTTGTTTTCGTATATATCACATTCATGGCCAAATCACAAACAGCCCACAATTTCTGTAAATAAATATTATGATATATTTATTTTATAAATTAATTCATAAATAATTAACAATCAAAGCAATTACATAATTCATGTTATTATCCTCTGGTTTTAAAGCATCTTTATGACTCTTCATTCGTTCTATAAGATTTTTATAAAAACCATAACAATAATATTCGTTTTTTGTTATAAGAGGTTCTAATATAAACCATAAACATTGTTGTATCACTTTTAATTGATTAATCATTAAATGACTGGTGAATTCAGGATCATGTGCAAGAATAGGGACTGCAAATACTAGCATATAGTCAGGAAGAATATGAGGCAATTGACCTGTAATAATAATTAAATAAAATTATTTATTAATATATAATTTTTTAATAATATTATATATTTATTAAATAACGAAAAAAAGAATATTAAACAATATTTCGATAATGCCTTACTATTTAGTTTCTTACCCATGGCCCGTTCCACGGTACCCAATGACAATGTCTTAACATAATCCCTCCTTTTGTTTATATCAGTTTGCATATAAGTTTTTAGGACACATTTTAATCTTTTGTCTTGTTCTTTGCCAGCAAGAGCATAGTAGCCCATAAAATCCAATGGTAAACATTTATTTGGAATTCCTCTTCCAAGACCTTTATGTAATTTACTACCAAAAGCTTCTCTTACTTGTGGAACTTCATCCTATAAATCAATTTGTATTAAAAATATATTATCGTAATATTTTTTATCAATTTTCTTTCACTAAAATTTGTCTTTACATCTATAATATAATATAATAATCTATAATATAATCTATAAATTTATTAAAAGAAAAAAATAATAATTATAGAATCATAGTTTATAAAATATCATAGCAGTTTATAAAATAATATAAAACACACCACCATAAGTTGAGACAAATTATAGAATTGTTCTGCTGTAAATTGGTCACCAACACCTTTTTGTTCACAAATTTTCAGCATTGAACAACCAGCTTGTAACCGTAACCAACTCATTTCTGCTTTACTTAGACGACCTTGCTGTAATAGATCTCCCTTGTTTACTACAAATGCATTCAGCATTCTAAATGTTTTCTGTGCAGAAAGCACATCAGTCTTCAATCCTAGTAACCAACGTGCCATACATTTTAATCCTTCTAATCTACAACGTGTTTCTTCAGGTAATTGATCTTCTCTGCACCAGTCTCCTTCAATGGTGTCAGCAGTTTGTTCACTGCTTTCTTTTACTAATAACTCCTTGACTATCTATTAATTTTTAATATTTAAATTAAATCAAATATTATAACCAAATACAATCATATTTATATTTTATATTATAATTATATTATAAATAATAGTGTTATAACAGAAATAGAAC